GTATGCGGGCCTCTCACTGTTGTGGCCTCTCCCACTGCGGAGCACAGCCTCCGGACGCGCAGGCTCAGCGGCCACGGCTCACGGGCCCAGCCACTCCGCGGCATGCGGGATCCTCCCGGACCGGGGCACGAACCCGTGTCCCCTGCATCAGCAGGCGGACTCTCAACCACTGTGCCACCAGGGAAGCCCCAAGTTGTTTATTCTGAGTATAATAACCCTATATCTTCTTTTCAGCTTACATGTACTATGATCATGAACATCTTATGCATAATTGTTGCAGTTATTGCAGTGGTTCTAACAGTAATGGAGTTGTCTTCTTTTGAGTCTGTGTCGTATAGGAATTACAGACAAGCGGTAAGTGACCAATTCTATAGGAACATCTTAATTTCAAAATTATTCTTTTCAGAGATTTTGAAGCCTGAGGAGGTAAAATAAGGTTTTTTTTGGCCCCCATGAAATTCTTTGATTTAGCAGTAAGCTCTTGGTTGAAAGTTTTAATTCAAAAATAACTCTCTTTTTTTGTAAATATTAATAGGATGTTTGAAATCTTGACATGCCCAATTAAAATAAAGTAAAAAATTTGAAGACTTCAGTGATAAGTTATATATATAGTAGGATATATATATATATGTATACACACATTAGGATGATTCTCTTAATGAAAGAAAAGTATAATCCTAGACGTTAAAACCATTCCCCAAAATCAACAAAAGAATTCTGCTGTTGATGCACATAGTAGTTGGAATTGTATACAGCTACTCATTTCTGGTTTAACATAGATATTTTCATATATAGCCTATTTTTGTGCCTCACATGAATTTTGCTTTGAGTCCTCAAATGCCAAATGTGTATGAATCTGCCTTGCTTCCATTTAATTAAACATCCAATCACATACTTTGTACCAGAAAAATAACTATATTTCTTCTTAAGATAGTAACGTTCTCCAGTAAATGTGAATATCTTTACTGATATTACAGTATTTATTTCAGTTGTGTTGACTTTAAATTCCAAATAACAGAATATTAGTGCTGCGAAAGACTTCAGCAATAATTATAAAAATCTTCCATTTAAATTGAGAACGGATTGGAGTGGAGCTCCTCTTTGTTACTGAACAACAGAATAAAACAAATAACAATTTGAAATTTTAATTCAAAATAATTCTGGGCAGAAGGCTCATTCTAGATGAGGGATAAACTTCCTCCTCCTCCGCTATATACCCTCTCTCCATACCTGCAGTATATTATAAAGGGGACCATTAGATGAAGGAATCCAAACATGGAGAACAAAAGCCTAGAAGGCAATAAGATGATGAGAGAAGATGCAGTAATACCTCCAAATAGATTGTCTGTCATGAATGAGGTATTGATTTAAATAAGCGTGCATCAGATTTTCCCTGTAAATTGTGAGAAAATTTTTCATTTGCCCTGGAAATCCAATCTACGTATCTTCAATTCTTATTTCAGGGGCAGAGATAGGGAGGGGTGGAATTATTAAGTATAGAATTGTTTCAGGTTATTTTAGCTTACCACTCTTACTCATAAGCTTATAATCTTAGTTTAAGATAATATGGCACAATTGCCAAGACTTACCTTTGCAAAGAGTATTACAAACCATTGTACACTGTATTTGTCTGACATGAACTCAGTACTAATGATCAATTTCACAATCTCCCAAACACAGGTTTCAGCTTCATTTGCTGTGATTAGATACACAAAATGAATTTATATACTGTCTTTTCCTAGAGGCCTTATAGAATTATATACCTGCCTTTTCTAAGGTAACCAATACTTTACGAGATTTTTCATATGCCAGCTTTCTAACATAAACAAGTGGCTTGGCTAAATCCACAAACTCATCGAGTTACCAGTGTTCTCAGGTAGGTTCAGCTATCCCCAAAAGTTCATGCCTCTGAAAAGTACTTCTCATACAATAAATCCAGAGCTAGACTGTCTTTGTTCAGATACTACCTTTCATATTCACTAACTGTGTGACCCCTTGGACAACTTTCTTAACTTCCCCATTCTTTATAGTTTCTTTGTGTGTAACGGAGAAGATGCTATCACATATCTATTAGTTAACTGCTCTGTCTCTCCCAAACTCCAAGCCTATTGTTCTAATGTTCTAATGACTTTTCTACTTGGATATGCTTCTGTCATCATCATCTCAAACTCAATGTATATACAGTGGAAAATGTTTACCTCCTCAGGAGCACTGTACTGCAAGACTCCCTTATTTCAGTGTCCCAGGCTCAAAACCTTGATGCAATCCTCACCCTTATCTTTCCACTGTCTTCCCAGTCGCCAAGTACTGTTTATCATTTACTTAAATTTTTATTAATTAGGGATCTTTTGGTTGTGACAAGAAATACAGCCCAAACTGACTTCCCAAAAAAGGACACTTACTGACTTAAGCTGGATTCGGAGGCTTAAGTGATGTGTTGAGAACTCAGTCACTCTTTCTGTTCTTTTGCTATTTGAACTTCTCTGGCACACAGCTTGCCACTTTCAGGGGAAGAGTTTGTCTGAGAATAACACTAGCACACATAAACTACGGAGTGTGGGCAAAATTACTTTTTACAGTCTTGCCAACTAAGAGGTCACAAGTAACTTCCCAGCTAAAATGCTATGATTATGTTTCTGTCAGTAAAATTAAATGAGCATTCTTTACTTGGCCATTTCAAACTCCCTACAGTCTTTTCTTTATCTTCCTGTTAATATCATCATGAATGAACACTTTACCTGAATTAAACTTGCTTTATCATTTTTTCAAAACCTGTTATGTTCATTCTTGCATTCCGTTTTTTGCTCACATTATCAAACTGTAGGTCATGTGATATATAATTTAGCTTTATTATTGTTTTTTTTTAATGTCTCCATTTCTTAAGTATTTTGTCACACTTTTTTTTTTTTTTTTTTTTTTTTGCGGTACGTGGGCCTCTCACTGTTGCGGCCTCTCCCGTTGCGGAGCACAGGCTCTGGATGCGCAGGCTCAGCGTCCATGGCTCACGGACCCAGCCGCTCCACAGCATGTGAGATCTTCCCGGACCAGGGCACGAACCCGTGTCCCCTGCATCGGCAGGCAGACTCTCAACCACTGCGCCACCAGAGAAGCCCTGTCACACTCTTTTTACCGTTTTTTTTTGTTTTTTTGCGGTACGCGGGCCTCTCACTGTTGTGGCCTCTCCCGTTGCGGAGCAACAGGCTCTGGATGCACAGGCTCAGCGGCCATGGCTCACGGGCCCAGCCGCTCCGCTGCATGTGGGATCTTCCCGGACCGGGGCACGAACCCGCGTCCCCTGCATCGGCAGGCAGACTCTCAACCACTGCGCCACGAGGGAGGCCCCACACTCTTAATTTATGTTATTAAATTCTTTCTGAAACAAAATAGGTTACAAAGAAACAAGTAAACTAAAGCTGCCTAGAATATTGCTTTCCTCCTTCATTTTTCTTAGTCTTTATTTCAAAGGTCCTACCTCTTTACAAAGCCTTCCTAGATATGAATGGCTTAAGGTGAGTCTCCTGTCCCATATAATTGTTGATCAAGTTCTTATCCATTTGGACATCTTTAACCTTATCATATGTTACCTTATATTATCTTTCTATATTTTCTATTGAATATAAACTGAGAAATCAGGAATTTTTTGTCATTTCATTCTTACCATCTAATCTCTACCACCTAATAATTTCTTGCATATAAAAGATATTAAATAAACCCAACAGAAAAAGGGGGGAAGATGAAGGAATTGAAGGAGAGAGAATTATGATGTTATTCTTTCTAGGTCAGAATATCATTCTTGTCTTTCCACAGCCAGCACAGAAACTACATTTATTTTCAGGCTTAGTACCAAGTCATCATCCTCATATGTAGTTGAAAGTACCTTTCCAACAGCAACAGAAGGGATCTGCTTTATTTATCCCAGAAATCACAATCACCTTATACCTCCGAGTGAAATGTTTTTCTTTTTGAATTTATTCATTCTTCCATCTGATACTATAGCAATTTCTGTGTGAGATTTTTATACATGTAAATTTAAGTAAGTTTGTAATTAATAATAGCTGTTTTAATGACGAGAATTGCTTGATAAAATCTCTTGGTAGCCCTCTTATCATTGGAGACAGAATAGCCAAATCCTGTTGACTGAAGAGTTTGGATAGTGAGCTGTGCCAGAGACTCTAGTGAACAGAATGAGAATGAAGAGTTGCAAGAATTGAGACAAGACTGCTGAGTGATGAAGATCAAGAATGAAAGCTGTAGCTAATGAATTGGGGGAATGAAAGCTAGGAAAACAAATCAGAAGACACAGGCGTAGGAACGCCTAGGGAAACCAAATGGTGAAAGAGGCTTATTTATTCTTCTGTTTCCCTTCTTTTCCTTGACTCTCATATTAGGAGCTCCTTCCATGACCATATCTGCACTTACTAAAGATAATAATGCAAGTTAGGTCAGTGTGCCCTCTGGGCTTTCCCACAATCTGGGCAGAGGGCCGATCTCATGTTTGCCTGGGTTCTTAGCTGAGAGAACCGCATAAGGACTGGGCACTTTTCTTGGTGCTGTGACTTGGCTCAAGACTGGACCTCACTACAGACCTCTACCATAACTACACATCTTAAAGACAGTTTCCAAGATCTTTTAGGTATCTTAAAATCTTAAACTTGGAGGAGACAGGATGGCAGAATAGAAAACTTGAGCTCACCTCTTCTCACAAGCACACCAAAACCACAACTAACTGCTGAACACCCATCGATAAAAAAGAGTGGAACCTACCAAAAAAGATATTCCGCATCAAAAGACATAAAGAAGAAACCACAACGAGACAGCAGGAGGGGCACACTCGTGATATAGGCAAATCCCATACCACCCAGGTGGGTGGCCCACAAACTGGAGAATAAATATATCACAGAAGTTCTCCCACAGCAGTGAGAGCTCTAAGCCCCACATCAGGCTCCCCAGCCTTGGGGTCTGGCATCAGGAGGAGGAGTCCCCAGAGCATTTGCCTTTCAAGGCCAGTGGGGCTTGACTGCAAGAGCTCCACAGGACTAAGGAAAACAGAGACTCCACTCTTGGAGGGCACACACAAGGCCTTGCATGCACCAGGACCCAGGTCAAAAACAGTGACTTCATAGGAGCCTGGGCCAGACCTACCTGCTGGTCTTAGAGGGTCTCTTCAGTAAGCAGAGAGTGTCTGTGGCTCACTCTGGGGTCATAAAAGCGGGTAGCAGAACATATCAGGGAGTATTCATCTGCATGAATGCTCCTCAAGGCAACATCTGGCCCCACAGCCCCACCCACCTGCAGACAGGCTGCCTAAAGACATCCTGAGCCTACAGCCACGTCTAGACATGCCCCTTGACACAGTCCTGCCCACCAGAGGGCCAAGAGCCAGCTCCACCCCCCAGTGGGCAGGCACTGGCCCCTCCTGCCAGGAAGCCTGTACCAGCCTCTAAACCAGCTTATTAACACACTAGGTGGCAGACACCAGAAGCAAGAAAACTATGATTCTGCAGCCTGCAGAAATGACTCCACAGCACAGATCAGAAACTACGCTGGGACCAGCTGGCCCTGGCCCTTCGATGATGAGAGGGGGGTGTATTGCTGGGATACATAAGACGTCCCCTACAGAGGGCCACTTCTCCAAGGTCAATAAATGTAACTAACCTACCATGTACATAAAAATACAAATAGAAATTTAACTAGTTTGAAATAATGATTGTAAGTATGATCCAAGCACTCAGGGAAAGTATGTACAGAGGGAAACGTTACAGGAAGGTTTTAACAAAGAAAATATAAGGAACAACCAAAGAGAGTTGAAGAATATAATAACTGAAATGAAAAACACACTAGAAGGAATCAAAAGCAGACTAAATGAGGCAAAAGAACGGTTCAGTGAGCTGGAAGACAGAGTGGTTGGTGGAAACCACTGCCATAGAAAAGAAAAAAGAATGAAAAGAAATGACAGTTTAAGAGACCTCTGGGACAACATCAAATGTACCAACATCTGCATTATAGGGGTCCCAGAAGGAAAAGAGAAAGAGAAAGGGCCTGAGAAAATATTTGAAGAGATAATAGCTGAAAACTTCCCTAAAGTGGGAAGGGAAACAGTCACCCAAGTCCAGGAAGCGCAGAGAGTCCCAAGGAGGAACATGCCAAGACACATAGTAATCAATTGACAAAAAGTAAAGATAAGAGAAAAGATTAAAAGCAACAGGGGAAAAGCAGCAAGTAACATACAAGGGAATCCCCATAAAGCTATCAGCTGATTTTTCAGCAGAAACTCAGCAGGACAGAAGGGAGTGGCACTATATATTTAAAGTGATGAAAGGGAAAAACCTACAACCAAGAATACCCTACCCAGCAAGGCTCTTGTTCAGATCTGATAGATAAATCAAAAGCTTTACACACAAGCAGAAACTTAAAGAATTCAGCACCACCAAACGTGTTTTACAACAAATGCTAAAGGAATTTGTCTAGGCAGAAAAGAAAAGGCCACAACTAGAAACAAGAAGATTACAAAATGGGAAAGCTCACTGGTAAAGGCAAACATACGGTAAAAGTAGGAAATCATCCACACACAGACATGATATCAAAACTAGTAATTGTGAGAGAAAGAAAGTACAAATAGAGGATATTTTAAATGCACTGGAAATTAAGAGGTGAGCAATTTAAAACAATCGTGGATATATACATAGACTGCTATACCAAAAATGTATAATTCATGCACACACAAAAAAGAAAAAGGAATCCAAACATAATGCTAAAGAGAACAAAAGAGGAAACAAAACATAAAAAGACCTACAAAAACAAATGCAAAACAATTAACAAAATGGCATTAAGAACAAACATATCAATAAGTACCTTAAATGTAAGCAGATTAAATGGTCCAACCAAAAGAAATAGACTGGCTGAGTGGATACAAAACAAGACCTGTATATATGTTGTCTACAAGAGACCCACTTCAGATCTAGTGACACATACAGACTGAAAGTGAGGGTATGGAAAAAAGGATTCCATGCAAATGGAACTCAAAAGAAAGCTGGAGTAGCAATACTTATATCAGACAAAATAGACTTATACTAAAGACAGTTACAAGGAACAAAGAAGGACACTACATAATGATCCAGGAATCAATCCAAGAAGAAGATACAACAATTGTAAATATATAATACATGCACCCAACATAGGAGCACCTCAGTATGTATAAGGCAAATGTTAACAGACATAAAAGGAAAAATTGACAGTAGCACAATAATAGTGGGGGACTTTAACACCCCACTTACACCAATGGACAGATCACCCAGACAGAAAACCAGTAAGGAAACAGGCCAGACACATTAACATTAAATGACACATTAGGCCAGACAGACTTAACTGATATTTATAGAGCATTCCATCCAAAAGCAGGAGAATACACATTCTTTTCAAGTGCACGTGGAACATTCTCCAGGAGAGATCACATGCTGGGCCACAAAGCAGGCCTCGGTAAACTTAAGAAAATTGAAATCATATCAAACATCTTCTCTAACCACAAGGCTATGAGATTAGAAATAAACTACAAGAAAAAAACTGCAAAAAACACAAACGTGGAGGCTAAACAATATGCTACTAAACCAACAGATCACTGAAGAAATGAGAGGAAATCAAAAAAAAAAATCCTAGAGACAAATGAAAATAAAAACATGACGATCCAAAAAACCTATAGGACGCAGCAAAAACAGTCCTAAGAGGAAAGTTTATAGTGAAACAAACTTACCTCAGGAAACAAAAATCTCAAACCTTATGCCTAAAGCAACTAGAGAAAGAACAAACAAAACCCAAAGTTAGTAGAAGGAAAGAAATCATAAACATTAGAGCAGAAATAAATGAAATAGAGACTAAGAAAACAATAGAAAAGATCAATGAAATGAAAAGCTGGTTCTTTGAAAAGATAAACAAAATTGGTAAACCTTTAGCCAGACACAAGAAAAAAGAGGAGAGGGCCCAAATCAATAAAATTAGAAAGAAAATTGGAGAAGTTAAAACTGACACCACAGACATACAAAGGCCCATAAGAGACTACTACAGGCAACTAAATGCCAATAAAATGGACAACCAAGAAGAAATGGGCAAATTCTTAGAAAGGTACAATCTCCCAAGATTGAACCAAGAAGAAATAGAAAATATGAACAGACCAATTACAAATACTGAAATTAATCTGTGATTTTAAAACTTAACGATAAACAAAAGTCCAAGACCATGTGGCTTCACAGGTGGATTCTACGAAACATTTGGAGAAGACCTAACACCTAATCCTCTGGAACTATTCCAAAAAATTGCCGAGGGAGGAACACTTCCAAACTCACTCTTTGAGGCCGTGATCGCCCTGATGCCAAAGCCAGATAAAGATACCACACAAAAAAAGAAAATTACAGGCCAATATTTCTGATGAACATAGACACAAAACTCCTGAACAAAATACTAGCAGACTGAATCCAACAATACATTAAAAGGATCATACACCATGATCAAGTGGGATTTATCCCAGGGATACAAAGATTTTTCAATATCCACAAATCAATCAGTGTGATACATTATATTAACAAAGAGTGAAAACTATATGATCATCTCAATAGATACAAATGAACTTATTTACAAAACAGAAATAAACTCACAGACAGAGAAAACAAGCTTATGGTACCAAAGGGAAAGGGAGGGGGTGAAGGATAAATTAGGAGTTTGGGATTGATGTATACACACTACTAAATATAAAGTAGATAACCAACAAGGACCTACTGTGTAGCATGGGTAACTGTACTCAATATTCTGTAATAACCTATAAGGGAAAAGAATCTGAAAAAGAATATATATATATATATATATATATATATATATATACACACACACATATATATACATACACATATACATATATACACATATATGCATATATAACTGAAGCACTGGGCTGTATACCTGAAACTAACACAACATTGTAAATTATCCTTCAATAAAAAAATTGTTCTAATTTTTACAAAAGATGATAATGCAACATGTCTCCCTATTTTCTGGTTTCAGAAACTTGGGAGAGAAATTTCACGTGTTTTACTGGGCTTCTACCCCTTGGAATTGTGTATTGCTTTCACATACACGATCTTCGGCTGTGTTGGTTTGGTAAGTTTTGATGTAACCCTCTGGCAAATCTAGAGATGTAGATTTCTAGTAAGCACACTCTAGGAGGAGATGAAGTGTTCTGATACAATATGTTTGGAACTAATAAAAATAGAATTTGTGATAATATTTATTTCACTTTTTAAACTTTTTCTTTTTTGTTTATAAAATTGCGAAAGTACTATGTGAAACTGAATATTAAAATGTAAAAAATTGTTGAGTAGAATGTTATTCTCCTCTTAATATAGTCCCCATCATGCTCACATATCAAAATCTATACAAAAAGGCATGCACACACATACACACTTTTCTTTCTTACTAATTGTGTGATCATCTTATTTTGTTACATGCTTTTTTTCTCAGCTATCATAAACATCTTTCCGTTGTAAGCATATGTAAACAGTGCCTTTTAATAGCATCATAGTTTTCCTTAGTATTTATTTTAACATTTCCTTTATTGCTGCTGCATATTTAACTTCTTTCCAGTTTAAGTTATAAACAATGATGCAGTGAACATCTCACTACATATATCTTTGCATACAAGACTAGTATGTCTGTAGGTGGTTGCTTCCTAGAAGTGTCATTGCAAGTCTAAGAACATCCCAAAATGCTGTATTAATTCACAGTCCCACAAAAGTTGATGAGACGTTTCCTCTCAACCTTAAAAAAGCAAGATATCTAACACTCATTCATTCACAAATACTTATGGAGGGCCTATTATTTACTAGGCAGTGTAATAGGCACTCAGGTTGCAGTGATTAACAAAACAACATCCCAACCGTCAAGCAGCCTGCACTCCAATGGGAGAGAAAGACAATAAACAAATATATAATAATTTCAGGAAGTGGAAAAGTGTTATAGAGTAAAACAAAACACAGTAAGGAGTTAAGGCAAAGATTATTTTACATAGGACGGTAAGGGAAGACCCTCTGAGCAGAGACTAACTAAAGTGCATAAGTAACTATGAGACTACATGAAAAAGGATTTTCTAAGAAAAGGGAATGGTGGGGCTTCCAGAATGGCTGGGTGAGGAAATGGCAGATTTCCCTTAAAAGAAATTATAAAACTGGACAGGGTTTCCCTGGTGGCGCAGCGGTTGAGAGTCTGCCTGCCGATGCAGGGGACACGGGCTCGTGCCCCGATCCGGGAAGATCCCACATGCCGCGGATCATCTGGGCTTGTGAGCCATGGCCACTGAGCATGCGCGTCCAGAGCCTGTGCTCCGCAATGGGAGAGACCACAACAGTGAGAGGCCCGCGTACTGCAAAAAAAAAAAAACTGAACAAAATTGTCAATAAACGACCTTTTAAAGATTCTAGAAATTTACCAAAGCATATAACAAATTGAGAAGTGTTTGTTTAAGAAAAGTTACTGATGGGCTTCCCTGGTGGTGCAGTGGTTGAGAGTACGCCTGCCGATGCAGGGGGCACGGGTTCGTGCCCCGGTCCGGGAAGATCCCACATGCTGCGGAGTGGCTGGACCCATGAGCCATGGCCTCTGAGCCTGCGCGTCCGGAGCCTGTGCTCCGCACCGGGAGAGGCCACGGCAGTGAGAGGCCCGTGTACCACAAAAAAAAAAGAGAGTGAAATTATTTAAAAGCACCAAATGGAAATTCTGTAATTTAAAAATACAGTTACTGAAATGAAAAACCCACTAGAGGAGCTCAAGAGCAAATCTGAGCTGACAGAAAGCAAAATTAGCAAACATGATAGACCAATATAGATCATCCAGTCTGAAGAACAGAAAACAAAAATGAGCAGAGCCTCTGAGATTTGGGGGACACCATCTAGTGCATGCATAATGAGAATACCAGAAGGTGAGGGGACAAGAAAAAACTTGAAGAAATAATGGCCAAAATTTTCCCAAATTTGAAGAAAAATTATATTCTATCCATCTAAGAAGCTCAGTGAGCTCCAGTTAGAATAAACACAAAACGACTCACTCCTAGATGCCTCAGAGCCAAATGGATAAAAGAAAATCTTGAAAGCAGCAGGAGAAAAATGACTTCATGTGCAGTGTCACCACAATAACAGCTGACTCATCAGAAACAATGGAGGCCTAAAGGTAGTAGGATGGCATGTTAAAGTGCTGGAGGAAAAAAACAGTCAAGCATGAATTCTATATCCTTTAAAACTATCCTTCAAAAATGAAGGTGAAATAAAGGCATACACAACGATTACAAAGGCACAAAGGAAGGGGAAGGAATACAGCTACATGTGAACAAAGTTTCTATATTTTACTGGAATTAAATTAGCATTCATCTGAAGCAGATTGTGATAAGTTAAAATGCATATTGTAATCCCTGACCAGTGACTAAGAAAATTCCCAAAATTATAGTAAAATAAAATTAACAAAGAAGTTAAGATAATACACAGAAAGTATTTAATTTTAAAAACAACAAGGAAGAACATAAAAGACATGAGACATACAGAAAGCAGCAAAACATCAGACGTAAATCCAGCCATTTCAAAAATAATATTAAAATAAAACTACAATGAGATGTTAAGTACCTAACAGAATGACTAAATTTCAAAATACAGTTCTAAGTGATGGTAATGACTATGGATAAAAGAAATTTCTCACCCACTCCTAATTGGCATATAAATTACTGCAACAACTTTGAAAATCTTTGGGGCATTATTTACTGAAGGTTAAGCTGTGCATACCCTATCAGTAATTTCAGTCCTTGTTATATACCCAACAGAAATGTGTGTATACATGTAGCAAGATATACTTCCAGGGAAAAAAATAAACATATATATCAGCATTATTCATAATGGTCCCAAAGTGGAAATGCATTCAGTGAGAGGTGAATATATTGAGAAAAAAATTCTACATAGAAATTAAAATGAGCAATAACTACATTTAACAGCATAGATCAATCTCCTATATATAATGTTGAATATTGCAAGGCAAATTCTAAAGAATGCATACATTTTTATTCCATTCATAGGAAGTTTGAAATCAGGCAAAACTAAAGCTAAACTATAATGTTTAGGGAGGAATGGAAGCTGTTGGTAAAATTAGAAAGAAAACACAGGATTGATTACCTAAAAGTCAAAACGGCATTACTTTCAAGGGAAGGAATGGGTAATAATTGGGAATGTCAGGACAAGGTGACTTTTGGGGTGCCGGCATCTGTTCATGTTGCAGAAGACCATAAATATTTTATTATAAAAGTCTGGGAGGGGGCTTCCCTGGTGGCACAGTGGTTGAGAGTCCGCCTGCCGATGCAGGGGACACGGGTTTGTGCCCCAGTCTGGGAAGATCCCACGTGCCGCGGAGCGGCTGGGCCCATGAGCCATGGCTGCTGAGCCTGCGCGTCCGGAGCCTGTGCCCCGCAACGGGCGAGGCCACAACAGTGAGAGGCCCGCGTACCAAAAAAAAAAGTCTGGGAGTATACCAAAAGTTACAAGTGGTTCAATAGCAAGTAAGAGAGTGGGTTGAGGTAGAGATGGAACAGAAAGAGGACAAATGGCACTTTAACATTTTATTCTATAAACATCAGTATTGCTTATATTTTTAAAAAACTAAGTACTTACTACATGTATGATTTCAGGAATCATAATGTGATTTATAAGAAGTTAATTTTTTTTTTCAGTGTCACAAAAATGAAGATGATCATACAACTGTTACAGAGGAAGCTGAGAGTGCTTTTTAAAAACCTTAGAAATGTGAGAATTTTCCTGGTGCTCTTACCTGATGTGAGCCCTGATGATATATCTGTGTAACAAAGCTGCTACAAAGTTCACAGATTTTGTGCAAGAGAAAATACAAAACAAGTTGAATTTTTCTTTTCAGTATTTCAGAAAATTCTTCACACATATTTTTGTAGGCTCCAATTGGAAAGCTTTTCCCTAATTAAATATGATATTATTACAAGGAAGAATTTACTGTCCAGGTACTCTGAATAGCTGTCACCTCTTCCTAATGGAGCTTTTGTAAGAGACGATAAAAAAAAGATTTGCGACTGTCTCTAGAGTACAAGCTACACAGACTTGGAGCATGGTATTGTATAATTCTCAGGAGAATTTTAAATAATTTATGCCTCTGCACGTAAAGAGTACATTTCAGTCTGAGTTCTTCTACCTGAGCTAGCTACCTGAGCAAAGTAGGAATCAGAAGTCATCCAATTCAGTCCCTCCATTGACTGCTCCTCTCATTAAAGTTCCTTTCTGCCCTGAAAGTCTCTGCTGTTCTTTCTTCCCTTTCATTCCCCATTCTTATTTCTTCTCATTGCTTGGATCACCTGTTCCATTGCTTTTCAAAGCAAACAGGCTGCTTTTCCATACTAAGGAAAATTTCCCAAGGATCTGTTGTGAATTAAGATTCATCCTTCCTTCATATATGGAAAAGAACTTCAGAAAGCCTTGCTCAGCAATACGAATCATGCCAGTGAATATGTGTAGCTCTCTTTTAAACGTGCTGCTGTTTTTTATCTGTTTGTTTTCTGCCTTGTCTCTCAAGAGGTTTCATCAACTGTTATCTAATGATACAAATTAAGTTTTTGTGGTTCTAAGAATGTTAAGCTTAGCTTACATACATTAATTGAGTGTCCACAGTGTGCCAATGAATATATTAAACATTGGCGTATCAAAAAGTAGTAAGGTGCTTCATCACGAAGAGTTTTTATTTTAAGGGAGGAAACAAACAGGTGACAAGTCAGTACTGCAGTGTGATACATGTATTAACAGAAGTATGAAAAAAGTAGCACAGAAAAGATAATGAGCCTTCTATTGGGAAATAAGAAGGAATAAAGTTTTATGAAGAATGTGACCTCTGAGCAGGGGATTAATCATAGTTTACCAAGCAGATTGCAAGGTGGGTGGACATTTGGAATAGAAAGATTAGCTCATGCAAAAACAGAAATGTGAAAAAGATCGTAGTATATTCCAGTAGCTAAAATAAATATATATCATTAAAACATAATAATAGGGAGGAATAGGTTAAGAGTGAAAGTTGGACAAGTAGGAAGAGACCAGGTGATAGAGTCAAATCATCAAAGACGATAACTAAAGTGTTGAACTATACCTCGCAGATGGGGAAACCACTGAAGAGCTTTTTTTTTTTTTAATAAATTTATTTATTTATTTATTTTTGGCTGTGTTGGGTCTTTGTTGCTGTGTACAGGCTTTCTCTAGTTGCGGTGAGCAGGGGCCACTCTTCGTTGTGGTGCACAGGCTTCTCATTGCAGTGGCTTCTCTTTTTGTGAGCATGGGCTCTAGGCACATGGGCTTCAGTAGTTGCGGCTTGTGGGCTCTAGAGCGCAGGCTCAGTAGTTGTGGTACACGGGCTTAGTTGCTCCATGGCATGTGGGATCTTCCCAGACCACGGCTAGAACCCGTGTCCCCTGCATTGGCAGGCAGACTCTTAACCACGGCACCACCAGGGAAGTACACCCCTGAAGAGCTTTTAAGGAGGGAAATGATAAGCTTGGATTTATGCTTGAAAAAGTATTAAATAGAGGGAAATGCATTAGGAAGGACAAATTTGATAAGAACAACTAAAGTGTGTGTGAGAGTAATGGATAACTACTGCAGTGACTCAGACAAGCAGTGAAAAAAGGGTAAGTTTTAGTTTTGTTGACTGATTAAACATAAAGTATGAAGGGAAAAAGAAGAATCTAAAATGACCCCCCCATTTCTCGACTGGGTGACACCTGCAATGATACAAAATGTAGAAGACACAACAGGATTGAATAAAATGATAAATTCCATTCAGAATAAGTTGAGTTTGAGATAACTGTGAGATATTAAAGTAGAGATGTCAGGCTTCCCTGGTGGCGCAGTGGTTGAGAGTCCGCCTGCCAATGTAGGGGGCACGGGTTCGTGCCCCGGTCCGGGAAGATCCCACGTGCCGCGGAGCGGCTGGGCCCGTGAGCCATGGCCGCTGACCCTGCGCGTCCGGAGCCTGTGCTCCGCAACGGGAGAGGCCACAGCAGTGAGAGGCCCGCGTACCGCAAAAAAAAAAAAAAAAAAAAATTAAGAGCCAGCCTCTGAAATTGAATGAAAAAGGAAAATAGATTAATTCTACACACACACACACACACACACACACACACACACACACACACACACACACACAGAAGTTCTAATGTCTGATAATGGTATCTCCCTACTTAACCAGACAATGAGACTCATTCAAAAATAGAGATTTAGGCAAAATGACTTCATATTGCAATGGCAACTTGACCTGCGCTAACCAAAGGAAGAAAGCATGGCATATTTGTAGGACGGCAAGTAGTTTGATGAAGGTGAACCATGGTGTCTATTGGAGAGAAGGTGGGAAGTGAGGCTACACAGTAGACAAAGGGAGAATATGATATAATTTGAATGACGCGCTAAGGCATAGGAATTTCAGCTTGTCCATGGTGGCCTACTGTGGAAACACAGTAAGAAGCATCATCAGACTTTTGGTTAGTTCCTTGTAGTTGGAATGTGGAGGATCTGAGGTGGCTGTTATTCTAAACATGGGTTATCTAGGTTAGACAATAACTGCAGTTTTCTAGAGGAGAGATGATGCATATTACAACTAGAATAGTGGGAGATGAAGACAAGGAGGAAAAGTTTGACATGTATGTGGAAGATAAAATCAACAGGATTTGGAGATTGGTTATATTTGCAAGTGACACCAGTGCTGGGGTTTGGGAGTTAGCTGGAATAGAGGGAAAAGAAATGCTTTACAGGCAAATGATGAATTTAGATTGGATTGTTCTTTATCTGAGGTGCTTTTGGACAATCTACGTAGAAACATTTATTAGGAAGTTGGAAATATGAGACTAGGAATTTAGTAGAGAATTCTAACGTGGTAATTCAGCTTTGAAGGTAGTGCACTCCATATATACAAATGGCATTTCCAGTCAAGAAAGCTCAGATCCAGCAATCAAATGTCCACAAGGAACCAGGTATAAAATGTTACAAAGTAATGGCCAGATGGTGTCTTAGAGAACCCAGGCCCCATCTAATGGCCTTAAAATCAGAGTTAAAAAAAACCAAATCACGATATTAGTCAAATAACAAAACCTCTTAAAGTTTGTAAACTAAATTGTTTAGTCCAAGGGTCTTTCTAATTATGATTTCTTACAAGAGGGAAAATAGAAGGGACCCTAGGGAAGAATATCATTTAAGGCCAAAACATAAGGCCATGGAAAGGAGTCCACGAGGAGTACACAGAGAACTAGGAGAGAGTCAAATGTTGGAAACTGAAGGAAAAGACAGGCATGGTGAAAAAGCAAGTTGTTTTAGCCATAATCACTTAAATTAGCTTTAATCATTTATTTTTAATTTCTATAATTTACAGTAACACTTAAACATAGATTCTAATACTACCCAACCACATATGTGCTAAATTTGACTAAAAAATTAAATATTCCTATGTTATCATATATATAATCAATCTTTATTGCTTGCGCTCATTTAGCATGTATTTAGGCATCCACCCTTGTCTTAGACCCTGGGTATAAACAAAGACAGACAAGACCCCTACTCTAATGGAGCTGAAGGAGGAGATAAATGATACATGTTTGTTTGTTTTTTAATGAATTAGCAAGAGAATTTTGGAAGTGTGGCATTAGAAAATGCATTTTAGGAAATGAACAGGATGATGGGAAGAGAGGTGGGGTAGGTAGTTGGCACTATTTTGGATAGGAAATAAATGCTTTTCTAAGAAGGTGATTTTTCAAGCCATTTTCCGAGTCAGAAGACAAGCGCTCCAAGCAGAGGAAATAGAACAAAATCCTGAGAAGGGAAAAGGATTGGCTGGTTTGAGAGGATGGTGTGCCTAGAACCCATTGATTAAAAAGGAAGGTAATTAAGGATGAAGCTGGAAAGATAGAACCAGCTCACACAGTGCCTTTTTGGCCTTGTTGTTAAGATTTTATGTAAATGTAGAGAAAAGGCATCAAGAAAATGAGCTGAAAGAGGGAAGAGGTTTATAGGAGAGTGAAAAGATCTAGAATAGCTCTACCAATAGAAATATAATATGAGCTATGTGTGTAATTTAAAATTTTCTAGTAGCCACACAAGTAAACAAACAGGTGAAATGAACTTTAATAATACATTTCCTTAACCAAATATTTCAAAACTATTTAGATATTTTACATTCTTTTTATCATATCAAGTCTTGAAAATTTGGTGTGCATTTTACACTTAAATGCACACCATTTTACACTTAAAATACATGTCAGTTCAGACGAACTACATTTCAAAGGCTTAACTGCCACATGTGGCTAGTGGCTGCTGGTTTGGGCAGTATGGGTCTTGAAGTTTCAGCAGAATTCACAGAAAATATATTCATAATTCACCCTACCCGAGGACTCTTGGTTCCAGAGAGCGAGCAAGTGGTTAGAAAAGTATTGCCCTCAAAACAAAGCAAGGTTTTTCAGGCCAAGGAGGTACAGAATATTTCTTGTGAAGAGGTTAGAGATGTAAAGGTGACTGTGCCCAATAAAAGGCAGATTCCAGGGGACACAGTCAAAAGACTTCCCACTGTATCAGTTGATGACTTCAGTTTTTCCCTCTCTTCCGGATCACTCCTGCAAGTACATAAAGCATGTTATTATTTCTCCTGTTTAAAACAAAACAAAAACCTCTTGACTAATTCCCCCTCTACCTATGACTCCATTTCTTTCCTTTCCTTAAAAACAAAACTCAAAAAGAACTTTCCATATTGACTATTCCCAAATTATCTCCTCTCATTCTCTTTTAAATCCATTCCAAGTTAGGGTTTGGCCTCTACCTTGCTCCTAAAACTATTCTTGTCAGTGACAGCAGTGACCTCCGTATTGCAAAATCTAATGAGCAACGCACAGTCCTCATCTTAATTGACCATCCAGGAGGCTTTTAGCATAATTTTAGGATAATTTTCTTAGATTCCAGGGCTCTTCAGGTACCTTTCTGGCCACTCTTTACCTCCTACGCTGGATCCTGTTCATCTCCCTGACCTCCTAACACTAACACTCATCACTTCCCTTCACCCTGAACCTTCCCACAAGGTAAGCTCCATGAGGTGCAGAAATACATATTTTTTCTTCACTGCTTTTATCCCCAATATGTCAGACCAGTACCTGACACATATTGATGCTTAACAGATAATTTGTTCAATAAATTATACAATATGTAAAAGACCAAGCACCTAAAGCCTCAACAAATGCTAATTACATTCCCTTACCATAATGTTGTCTTTAGTTAGCCATCAAAGCAAATCATTTATACTCTTAAACTGGGACTCAGTATAAACGAGGGAGTTTGAATAGAAAACATTTTGTTCATTTATTCACTTCTACTGTGTGTCAGACACAGACACAGTGCCTTTACAGGCTATTGAGTTGTTTTAAAAAAAAAAAAAAAAGTTCTCCATGGTACCCAGCATCATGGAATCATGGACATGGCTCTCAAGTTAGGATTCTAATATATTCGTTGCTGGGACCTGATTACAGCATATTTTAGAGTTGTATAACCCGATTTCAGTTCTCAGAGTGTGAACTTAGTGTGAACTTAGTTCACACTAACTTAACTTAGTGTGAACATGGGAGATACACAGAAAATATATTATCTCATTGTACAGAAAAACAACCTAAGGAACAGGAAAGATAAATATTTTGCCCAAGCACTTATGCACCTAATAAAAAGGAGAGTGAAGGACTAGAGCCCAGGTTTGCTGAGCAGTACTCTTCCCTCTACACCTTGTGAAGATTAAAGGTAGAAAGACTTTTGCTGATACAAACCTAGCAGAAAAGTGGAGAGGAGGGCATGTGTTTGATGGATGTCCCTGCAGAGGCAGCCAGGGAAATCAGGCATGGCCCAGACTGTGATGCTAACAAACGCAGAGTGTGATGCTAATACAGGCAGCAAAGGGTTTTTGTCTCTGTTAACTCCCTCCCCCAACATCTCATTCCCTACCCGTCTCCTGGGAGCCTGCAGATCCATCAGAGCTCCAAGGCCCCCACCGCGCAGGTGTCCCCGCGGGGCTCCTCGCGCAGCCGCGCCCGGAAGCCGAGCTCTTGGTCACAACTGCGGCGTTGGAACCGCGCGGGGGGCGATGAGGGGCACAACCGAGGAAGCAGGACCCACTCTGCAAGTGCTGCCGCCAGGACTTCCGGAGCCGAAAAGTCCGGAGCTGAGGGCATCACCTGCGAGATCACGCCCCTCTAGCTAGCCCTGTGATGAAGTGAATGCAGGGATCCGTGGTCGGTGTAGACCGCCCCGAGGGCAGGCATTCCCAGCTCAAGTTCTTCTTGAGTTTCAGTTTTGCACCAGTTTCTCTTATTTGCTTCCCAACACAATCCTACAGGGTTTTTCGGCCGCTGAGGAAACACCCTTTGACAAGATTCGAACTCAAATTTGACTCTTTCCACTATACCTTTCTACCTCTTCTCAGTTTCAAGCGTCGACGGACCTGCTTAGAGAACTCAAACCTTAGGAGTTCCAGTAAATGGAAGGAAAAGTTTATTCGTGAAGAATTTAAAGACAAAGGCTTAAATTTCAGATAGGGCTATAAAGAAGAGGCTGGGAAAAAAATAAAAAGAGCCAGACATTGGAGATTCAGGAGAGTAGATTGTAAGAGTAGACTGCCATGTGAGAAAAGTTAGAAGACAAAGCGAATTTTTTAAAGACATTTTGGTTGTGAGAAACAGAAGCGATCTCTTACTAGTTTTAGCAAAATGAAGGTATGTTTGTCGTAATATATGAACAGATATGATTATATAATGTGAGGGCAAGAAGTTAGCCAGGTTTCCAAAAGAAATTGGAACTAGAACATTGAAAGCCATCCGAAACTCAGCAAGTTCTGCTACTTTTCATCTCTTTTCTCTGGGTGTCCTATTTCTCTCACTCTCCAAACTCACTTTCTCTACAACTCTGTCCATTAGGGTAGAGCATGGCAACACCACTGCTCCCAGGGTTTTACATCTTTCCATCAAGAAATCAGCCTAAACAACCTGGGAGAGAGTATGTTATGATCCCACTTCGAGTTAGATGTTCACCTTTGGCCCAGCTAGCTAGGACTAAGGAAAAATTCTCATGGATATTAAATATGGAGTCTAAGGATAACTGAAATGAGTTATACAGAAATCCCAAAGGTTATCCACAGCTTTAATGATAGCTATCTGTGAGTTTTACTTGTCTTATCTATTGAATACCCTTCCTACATTTTCATAGGTCCCCCAACTTGGGAAGCCCACTTTACTTTTTAGCCTCCTGTGCAGCTGATGTAGACATACGTGTTCTGCCAGTCAGGTGTCCCTGCACCAGACTTCAGTTGGAAGGAAACAATATGGCGTAAGAGAATAAACCATAGCAAGAAAAAGTCCAAGTTTTCTGAATATGGGTAATTTCTAGAGGGACTGATGGATGGGAGCAGCCACCATATGCCTATTTACTACAGTCCAATGTAAGGTTGTCACATGAACAAAACCACATGAGAACTAATTATTGGATGTTTCAAGATAGTAATATTGATGGTTTGATGAAAAACATCTCTCAGTGAAGCTGTGAAAAATGAGTAGCTCTAGGATTAGATTTCCCTCAATTTTAAGTATCTTACCCAAGAACATAATTAATATTTGTTTCCATATTTTCCTATAGAAAAGAAACATTTATCTTTTCATTTCTCTATTGTATGTTCGTGAAAAATGCCACGAAATCGTGTGTGGATCAGAGAGGAAACAAGAATGTTGGGGGTAAGAACTAAAGGCTACTTGAGTGAATAAATGACTGTAGTGTTGCAATTTCTAAATATAAAAAGGAGAAGACTTTAACCACCTCTATTATGAACTCCCCAAATTAAAGAGATGTAATTAAAGTGTCCTGAAATGGTTATGTAATAATATCTGCATTCTCTACATGCCACCTGAAAGTATCAACTATATATCAGGCTAAAGTTAAATACAGCAAAAATTATGAATCTACCAGCTACATTTAAATACCCCAAAACCACTACAACCTAGTAGTACTCCCAGCAAATATACTGAGTCTGGAAATGGGTATAAAATCCCTTTTTGGCATCTATAAATTATTGTAAGCTGAGCTGATAATGACATGGTCCCAAATGAGGCGGTCAGACTGTGGGAACTATATTCAGGAGAAGCTGCAGACCATAGAGCTTTGTGAACAATAATCATAATGGCACTATGTTCTTGACATCATCCCCCAGACATGGCACTGTTTTCCCAGTCAACTCCCATCAAATCTAGCAGGTTATATCCTTTTGCATTAGCCACCCATATTGTTGGATGATGGAGCCAGATTAGGAATTAAACCAGCAGGAGTAAAGCTTGGTCCAGGAATATTCCCAGCAACTCAAGTCTATTATTGCCTTCCCTTATTTAAGATCTACCTGATCCTCGACAAGAATTGTACTAAGAGCCTTATATAAAGCAAGCAGTGAACCCAAAGTTTCCTCTCCTCACTCCCAATTTTATGGTGTTAAAGACTTGGATTCCTAACCTGCTTCTCCACTAATCTGATCTGGGTATTGAGAAGGAATAAAGTGTTTCTGAGAATATGTCTGTTACTGGCCACATTACTGTCCTTCTAATGATATCAACCATTATCCAAGGGTTTAGGTCTCATTTCAGTCAAGAAGACATTCTACTTTGCAATTTTGGACAAGATAAGGTAGATACATTTCTCCCTATTCCTACCACTAATTACAGCTAAAACTTTGGATAAATATAAGGAAACTGAAAGGTACAGAGGAGGCAGAAGAGCTAGGGACCTTGGCATCCAAAGAATGACCTGGTGGTGAGTTTCCTGAGGTTTTTTGTTCGTTTTTCTTCAAATATCCTGAACTGGGTGCTTAAGAAGCCTATAACCCAAAAATACTATTAAGCACAGACAAAAAAATAAAAACAAAACCAAGAAAACCCTATTTTCTCAGCCATAGATCGAGGAAAACTTTCAGACAATAACTGACCCACTCTACCCAAACACCACAGGAAAATCTATGGCCCCCACCTCCATAAACAAAGGCCATGTAGGAGCCTAGACTTCCACCATTACCTGGCTATAAACAAGACACTCCTCCCCTTCCCCAGGGTGGTGCCAGAGACAGCCAAGGGGGAGGCTGAGACTTTCATCATCTCTCAGCAGAAATGAGCACCCTTCCCCAGCCTCCCCAGTGTCACTATAGGCTACATGGGGGAGCAGTAATGTGGTGATCCTATCCCAAAGAGCCATGGGGGTGTCACCTAGTGGTGAACCCTAAGTAAGGTTCCCTTCTTCCTACCCCGCCCACCAGTGTCAATGGAGGCTGAGTGGGGAATCTACCCCACCCAGCAGTATCAAGGCTGCCCCTGTGCCCTTGCCAGCAGAGTATCAGAGAAGATTTGCTGAAAAAGAAGATTTAAGTAATACATATTTTTAATTGTACTAAAATACACATAACAAAATTTACCATCAAAAATGATATTTAAGTGTACAGTTCAGGGGCATTAAGTACATCCACATTGTTATGCTATCATCACCACCATCCATCCACAGAATTCTTTTCATCTTACAAGCTAAAACTTATACCTATTAAACAATAACTCCCCCATTCCCCCGTCCCCGCAGCCCCTAGCAACCACCATTCTCTCTGTCTCTATAAATTTGACTACTCTAGTGCCTAGATAAGTGGAATCGTGCAACACTTGCCCTTTTGTGATTAGCTCAGGGAACATAATGTCTTCAAGGTTCAACCGTGTTGTAGTATGTCAGAATGTCCTTCCTTTTCAAGGTTGAAACATACTCCATTGTGTATATAACCACATTTTATTTATCCATTCATCCGTCAGTGGACACTTGGGTTGCTCCACATTTGGCTATGGCAGATAATGCTGCTATGGACATAGGTATACAAATATCTCTTCAAGTCCCTGCTTTCAATTCTTTTATACATATACCTAGGAATGGAATTGCTTGGTCAACTGGTATGTTTAACCTTTGAGAAACTGCCAAACTGTTTCCATAGCAGCAGTACCATTTTACAATCCCACCAACAGTGCATGAATGGTCCAATTTCTTCACATCTTCTCTAACACTTGTATTCTGCTTTTTTGATGGTAGTCATCCTAATAAGTATAAAGTAATATCTCATTGTGGTTTTGATAAACACTTCCCTAATGATTAGTTATGTTGAGCATCACTTCATGTACTTATTGGCCATTTGTATATCTTCATTAGACAAATGTCAAGTCCTTTGCCCATTTCTTAATTGGGTTGTATGTTTTTGTTGTCATTGAATGCTAGAAATTCTTTATGTTTTCCAGATATTTACTCCTTATCAGATACATGATTTGAAAATTTTTATACAGTTCTGTGGGTTGCCTGTGTGTTTTTATACAGTTCTGTGGGCTGCCTGTATCGTTTTTTCTTTTGTTGCCTGTGTGTTTAATCTCATATGCAAAAAATTCATTGCCAAATCTAGTATCATGAAACTTTTCTCCTATATCTTCTACTAAGAATGTTGTGTTGGCCCAGCCTATTGATAGTTATATTCTTAGCTGGGAATATCTGAGACAATTTCTGGGCCCAGATTTACTCATAGTGAGCCCCACAAACATTCCCCACCCCACCTCCACTGGGCCCCATGTTGTAGCTGGACCACCCCTTGCGGTTCTTATGATCACAGGGCACACTTCAGCAAGAAACCGTCAGGGAACTTTTAAGAACAATATTTATTACTCACAGGTCCTGGAGGATACAGAGCAAGCCTTGGAGCCACACAGTGAAGTTGTGGGTGGAGACAGAGGAAGGGAACATGGACCTGGGGCTCTGCCTCATTAGAGCCCTAGGGTGGAATGTCTAGTGTTTCATGTTCAC